AAACAAAAACAAAACAACAAAACAACTGTTGCCCAGGCTGGAGTACAGTGGTGTGATCTCAGCTCACTGCAACCTCTGCCTCCTGGGTTCAAGCGATTCTCCTGCCTCAGGAGGCCAGGTTGATCTCGAACTCCTGACCTCAAATGATCCACCCACCTTGGCCTCCCAAAGCGCCCGGTTGAATGAAGGAAGGATGAATGGAGAACTGGCGGAAGCTCTTGTCTAGAGCCAGGATTAGCTTCCCACAATTGGCAGATATTTCCTGGAGGTCACTGGACTTCCCTCAGGATGTGAGCTGAGGGCACAAACCAGTCCTGGTTACCTCTCCAAAGGTCAGAGTAGGCCGGGCACAGTGGCTCACGCCTATAGTCCCAGCACTTTGGGATGACCACGTTGAGATCGCGCCACTGCACTCCAGCCTGGGTGACAGAGACTCTGTCACACACACACAAAAAAACAGGTGGATGCCTGTGTAACGTCTGCGATGTCACTCTCACATGCATTCTGGTTTGCTAGAGAAAGGAATGTTGACCCAGTTATAAAGCATTGTAATTGCACTTAATACCTATCTTATCTATCTGCTTCTCGGAGCCACTGTTACTGCGGATAAAGCAAACGAATACTTGTAGTGCTTTCATTTTTCCTTGGGAAAATTAATCATGGGAAGAGGCATCAAAATTTAGGTGTGTATACAGGATCGTGTCAAGCCCAAAATATCACACGTTGTGTGGTATCTTCATTGTTTGAGAACCTCCACCCTGGGTTACAAATCAAAGCTCCTCAAGCAGCTGGGCTGACCCCGGGGCTAAACCTGTTCTTGTCTCTAAGCCCCACGTGCACCGTTCCCTCCACCCACAGCCCGCCGCCCTCTTAGAAAAACTCACAGCCATCTGCTGATGAGCTCTGCGGCGGCAGCTTGAAGCTCTCGTTCCTTTTTTTTTTTTTTTGAGACGGAGTCTCGCTCTGTCGGCCCAGGCTGTGAGGACAGTGGCATAATCTCGGCTCACCGCAACCTCTGCCTTCGGGGTTTAAGGGATTCTCCTGCCCTCAGTCTCCCTGAGCAGCTGGGATTACGGTGCTCGCCACCATGCCTGGCTAATTTTGTATTTTTATGTAGAGACAGGGTTTCACCATGTTGGCCAGGCTGGTGTTTTTTTTTTTTTTTTTTTTGAGACGGAGTCTCACTCTGTCACCCAGGGCTGGAGTGCAGTGGCGCGATCTCTGCTCACTGCAGCTCCGCCTCCCGGGTTCACGCCATTCTCCTGCCTCAGCCTCCGAGTAGCTGGGACTACAGGCGCCCGCCACCGCGGCCCGGCTAGTTTTTTGGTATTGTTTTAGGTAGAGACAGGGTTTCACCATGTTAGCCAGGATGGTCTCGATCTCCTGACCTCGTGATCCACCCGCCTCGGCCTCCCAAAGTGCTGGGACTACAGGTGTGAGCCACCACACCCGGCCCACTCATTCTCTTTCTTGTGGAGGCAACACTGATTTCATTTTGGGGAGTCATCTCCCACTCTTGGTCCTGTGGTTTCCGGTGTGGTTCACGTAGCTCTGTCTCCAGGGCAGGCACCTGATCCAGGCCTGACGAATCAGAATCTACTCCTCTCCCTCGCTACAGTGACTGGGTCAGGGTGGATACCTCATTCAAGTTGCTGCACTGAGAATCCGCTCTGAGACTTTCACATTTTGGGAAAGAGGCACTTCCTCTTTCTTTTTTTTTTTTTTGAGATAGTCTCACTCTGTAGCCCAGGCTGGAGTGCAGTGGCCACTCACTCTGTAGCCCAGGCTGGAGTGCAGTGGCGAGATCTCAGCTCATTGCAACCTCCGCCTCCCGGGTTCACGCTGTTCTCCTGCCTCAGCCTCCCGAGTATCTGGGACTACAGGCGCCCGCCACTGCGCCCGGCTAGATTTTTGTATTTTTGGTAGAGACAGGGTTTCACTATGTTAGTCAGGATGGTCTCGATCTCCTGACCTTGCGATCCGCCGGCCTTGGCCTCCCAAAGTGCTGGAATTACAGGCTTGATTCACCGCGCCCGGCCAGCACTTCCTCTCTCTGCCTCCAGTGCTGAACTAACAGATGAAAACCTGGAGCTGTGGGTGCCTCTGTGGGTGGCTGTTGCTGCCACCCCACCTCCAGGTGAGAGTCTGCTTGGGAAAGAAGCCACCGTAGAGGAAGGTTGAGCCAGGTGATGGCTCCAGACACATTCCTGACCGTGTGTGAGCACCTGGAAGCAGCCCTACCCCGGGACTAAGGTGCTAATGCTCATAAATGCCATTTGTTTTGGCCCAAGCCAGTTTGGATTGGGTTTGTCACTTGCAACAGAATTTGAACGAGAGGTGGCCGGGCACGGTGGCTCACGCCTGTCATCCCAGCACTTTGGGAGGCCGAGGCGGGAGGATCGCCTGTCAGGAGTTCAAGACAAGCCTGGCCAACATGGTGAAACCCCGTCTCTACTAAAAATACAAAAATTAGCCGGGTGTGGTGGCGCACACCTGTAGTCCCAGCTACTCAGGAGGCTGAGGCAGAAGAATCACTTGAACCCGGGAGGCGGAGGTTGCAGTCAGCCAAAATTGTGCCACTGCACTCCAGCCTGGGTGACAAGAGTGAGACCGTCTCAAAAACAACCTGCAACATGAGACCCTTGGTTGCCTCCCAGGGGCCCTCCTCGTTTCCTAATACTGACAAGGAGACCACGTTGGCAAACACATATTGCTTTATTTAGTGTTTCTCTGGATTGCAGAAGTGTCAGCAGTGGGCTGAGACCCCCAGAAGGGCACAGAGGCAGCTGGGCAGCCCCCAGGCCCTTGAGGGTAGGGGTGGGGAGAAGCAGCAGAAAGAGGTGGTGCCCCTGCCGCTCCCCCCAAGGCCAGCCCTTCCCCGTGCTCCCATGCCAGGGAGGGGTCAGGGGCCAGAAAAGGCCCTACATCCTTCAGTGGGGCCCAAGTGTGCAGGCAAGCTGTCCGTCATCCTAAGGCCTGGACTCAGGCAGAGGCGCTTTTCCCACCTGGCAGCCCCCAGGGCTGATTGCTGGTCAAGGAGCCAACTCTGCTGTCAAGACATGACTGGGTTTTATGGGGCTCCCGGTCCCTGGGAGTGGCAGTGAGGCACTCTGAGGAAGGGCTGCCGTCCTGGTTTTGTGGCAACCTGCCGTATGACCGCGGGCAAGTGCCTTCTCCTGTTTGGGCGTCCGTCCTCTGCTCTAACATGAAGGGGCTGAGCTGGATGATCTCCCAGTCTTCCAACTTCTATGGCCTAAGACGTCCTTCCTCACTCCAGCACGGCCTCAGACTGCGATGATGAGGACAGGAAAAGGGCTTTTTTTTTTTTTTTTTTTTTGAGACGGAGTCTTGCTCTGTTGCCCAGGCTGGAGAGCAATGGTGTAATCTTGGCTCACTGCAACCTCCACTTCCTGGGTTCAAGCGATTCTCCGCCTCAGCCTCCCGAGTAGCTGGGATTACAGGCGTGCACGACCATGCCCAGGTAATTTTGTATTTTTACTAGAGACGGAGTTTCTTCACGTAGGTCAGGCTGGTCTCGAACTCCTAACCTCAGGTGATCAGCCCACCTTGGCCTCCTAGAGTGCTGGGGTTACAGGCGTGAGCCACCGTGCCCGGCCTAAAAGAACATTCTTAAGGCAGGAAGAAGAGGGCAGGCAAGCGTGGTCTCAGCCCGCAGATGGAAGTCAGAGTGGGCTGCAAAAGGTGCAGATGGGCAGGCAGGGAGACAGGTAGACAGACAAGGTGCCAAGGGAATCAGGAGGAGAGGTGGCCTGGCCAGCGAAGAGGGCACCAGAGCCCAGCCCACCCCACCTCTCAGCTACATTCCTTGCCCTGCTGGGGTCAGGGAAAACACACCCATGTGTCCTCGGATGGGAAATGGCTTTTTTTAAAAAATAGTTTCCTATAAAGCATCAAAAAAAACCTCAGAGAAAACCTCAGCAAAAGTTCCCTTCTCTCAAACATTTGGCATCGGCAGTAGGGCTGGCATGGCTCGCTCTGGCCCTGGCTTTGCTATTGCTGTGGCCCGGCCTGGCCCACTCCTGGGGTAGCTCCTGGCCCCTGCTGCTCCCTCAAGAAAGGGATGGGCAGGAGGTGGGAGACGGCAGGGGGGCTTTGGGGCGTCCCTGGGTCCCCGTCTGAGGGATGGGCAGGAGGTGGGAGACGGCAGGGAG